GACACACATGTTGTAAACTCCTATGTATCTAACAATAGCAAAGCATTTATTTCGTCTTTATATTTGAGCATTTCTGGTTGAATAATTTCTTTAAGGATTCCCTGAGGAGGTTGGCAATGATTAACATCCGTGGTGGTAAAATGTTTCAGCTTTTCTGTCAAGTCACGTGAGAGCGACTGACCTCAACACGCATCGCTTTCGGAGCAGTCATAGCAGAGGCTAATGTGCAAGAGTGCATTTAATCTGGGCTACATGAGAGTAGTTGCATGTAGTACCCAACCACATTGCAGTTGGTGTTGTGTCGTTTTAATCAGAGGCAAAAATATTGTGGGAATCAGAGGGAGGAGATGGGATGTTGAATGAGTGACAGTGTTATGTACCATAATTACATTGCGCACACGATAATGACAACTGGAAATAATACATGCACTATGGCGCTAGAAGTGACAATGAGGGATGCATAGTTGCGCGGTGAAACCTGACTGAGAAGTGAAAATTAGAACTTGAATTCTTAGGTAAGTGGGGCGTTATTAATTGCTGGTATGATTATTTGCTTACGGAAATGTGGGTTATGGTAGGTAAGATGACGTCCGTTCCTTCTACCGGCTCGTGTTCTCTAAACACTTCTCACCTAAAATACGCATTCAGACATGCATTACATGGCATTTGTTTAAGTCACGCCCCCGAGTCAGTCATCACACGATTTGAATAAGTTGTCAGTAGACGAACCGTGTTAGTGGATACAACATTGCTCCTCACCCTCCTCCACATCAACCACGTCCTATTCCCCTTATGCGAATTCGTTCTTCTGTTCAATCTCTTCATCCTCCAATGTCTCCATACTATCTTCCACTCTTACTCATTCCAAAATTATACACATTAACCAAGTACGCACTAATGTTTGTCTCTTCTCTAGATCTTCCCTCAATTCCTCTACACGAGCTCTAATCCTACCAACTAATAATCTCACAGCGAGCCCTATTCTTCTCTAATGTTTCCTCTCATTCCCTCATTCCCTCTTCCTTCTCCTTCTCTTTCTCCACTTCCTCTGTCCCTTCATTCACATTTTCTCACTTTCATCATCTGTATATTCTCCAATTTCACTTCCTCCTCAATACCGAAATTTCCCCACACTTTGCTCCATCATTGATTCTACTTTCTCTTCAAACTGTCTCTTTTACTTTCAAGTCCTGATTCCATAACCTGCGTCTTGCCTTTGTGTCCCCACTCTTCTTCCTTGATATCTCCTTTTTCCATACTTCCCTGATTTGTTACACAACCTACGTCGTCATCTGCTCCGTTTCTATGTTCACTATTTCTTCTCTCTCTTCCCATCTAAACACGCAACCGAATTATCTGCATGCACGGTAAATTTCCAAACTTTTTATGACACACATATTTTTTTAATCCAAGCAGTGACGTGTATTTGGAACAGACAATTCGAGTAGATGGACATTAGTAAGTTGCTCGAATATCACAAGACCAAAGCACATTAATCGGATGTGTATGCTCCAATTATTCTATAGACACTCTGTTATCTAAGAAAACATTGCTCTATGAGAGCACATTCACCTAATTTTTGGACGCTTTACGCTACTTATATTACTTATGTTAATGGAGTCCACACGCTGCATGACATTTCTTCGGTACGAACGCCACCACTGGAGTCGGATGTGGTCTTTGCACTAGCAGTGGAAATTTATTTTGTTCACAATACCAATCCTGAGACCTTTTAAATAAAAGGGACAAAGTGGAGGGAATTCGATATGATAAATGATGTGAATCATCCCACCTTATCGCATTCATGGCGGGCTTAGTTACAGTGGCGGTATGGAGGAATCGTAGAACCACCGACAAATTCTTTTTTATTAACTACAAAGTACTTATTTGAGGCATGTTGTTTACAGTGCTTTTTTCGTTGTGCACCTGCTGTATTGTCTTTTTACACACGGCTACCATGAGATGGAGCTCCAAGTAGATGGTGCGTGAACGTGGGAAGATATTTCATAAAATTTATTTGGGGGCTAGGCTCTGTTTGACTAGATGTAAATTACTCGCTTGTTTCAGCTGTTGACTACTCACCTCCCATAATGATGCCTTCTGCTAACCATCTACACACCTCATCTACGGTTGGACATCCAACCTCCTTTCATCACTCATCATTTTGTGCCAAATGTGCTAAACCGTGAAACCACTGACTGCGTTTATTCACATTTTAGCTTTACCGCCTTTGACTTACTCCTACTTTGCAATACTGATTCCATTAATTAAATGCCATGGCCTTACTCATTCAATTTCTGGCTCCTCTTCTTTCCGGTGCTGAAAACCACTAATGAGTTTAATTAGAAACCTAGTCATGCACACTAAGTGCATCGTTTCACACATTCCTCGATTAGCATAAGAGGAAAGTCAAATGGAATGATACAAGGCAAAGAGCAGATGACACCATTGAGACTGCTCCAAAGCCAGTTCAGCAGTAGGAAAAGCAGCAGATTGCTAACTCACCTCAGACTTTGGGCATAATGAATGAGTTTGTTTGAACTCCATCAACAAGGCCCAATTACACATTCACAATTGACCAACACATGCAAGTACTCTGCCAGGGCTCACCGTGTCACGGCCAGGCGAAGGCCGGGATCATTGAGATAAAGCTTATTGCAGACATTTGCGAAACACACCACCACTCCTCATTTTGTGCCTC